TATTACCTTTGGGTTTCCTTGTAGGAAGATATTTTCCATCTTTCCATTGTTGATAATCGAGATCAGTCCAACAATTAGAAAGATCAAGTTGATAGCGACTAGAAGCATTGAAGATGAGTTCTGATCTAAAGATCAGAGCTTCACTTTTTGGAGTACCAGAAGTCGTCACTGGTGATCGAGTCGTAATTATTTGAAGTTTTTCACGAAACAAAATCACGAAAAACAAAATACATGAAAAAATCAAGTATATCAACAAGTGATGACATCGAAGTAGACACATTGAAAAACAAAAAACCTAAACAGAAAAAAAAGAACTGTCATTGTAATGGAATATAGAAATAGAAACGAATGTTATTTCATTTCAGCTGCAGCATATTTCTTTTATTTCAATTGCGATCCCAATGACAAACTGAAGTAATAGCAGTATCGCTATTCTCTCGTATGTAGATGGTGTTCTCTACATTTTCGATACTCCAGTTGTGTCTAATACAGTACAGAGCACCGTCTTTTATACAAAACAGAACGAGAAGAGAACAAACGTTGACAGTACAAGGCAATATTCATAATGCAAACATTAGCAAGAAAAGAACATTATACAAGGGCACCAACTCATCAGTGACTTTTCTAAACGATAACTCATAAGATATAAAATTTTGATGCATGTGTCGGTTGGCGCAGTCATATCTTTATTGACGCATATCAGTCACGCGTCACCGAAGACACACATACACATTATCTATACCACCTTCTTTACGTCGTGTATCGTGGGTACATTGGTTACATGTCATTTGACTTATTCGTTCAATTGAGAACGAAATTACATAATCTTGTTTCCTACCTTTAGTAGTCAGACGAATTTTATTGTTCATCTTTGATTTCATGAGTGCCATAGTGTTAAATGTATTGTGACATTTTTTATGGGTTTCGTTTGAAATGATGGACGTAGTGATGAAACATGTATGCGCTTTTCGATTTCGCTTCATTGATTAAAACGAAAGACATTACCGTCTGTACACATCCCAGACAGAGAAGACCCTTAAAAAAAACGTGTAAAAATGCGTTGAAAATTCATTAACGCGTAAAAAAAAACGGGAAAAGCGCACATTTTCAGGCACGAAAACGCGTTAAAAACTAAGTTTATACGCGTTTGTCTGCGTGAAAATATGCGTTTTTTCCTGGTTTTTACG